TTGCTCCACAATACGAAGGTGTATGCAAATTGTAGGGCTGGCGAATGATTTATGACCACATTCAAACGGATCATTTGTACTCCACATACACATTCCAACATTCATGAACATACACACAATGCGCTCGCTTTTTTTGCAGAAATGGCAAGTTTGTACTTGAGTGCCTTCCAAAAATTGCCAGAACATTTAAGCCACATGCTCGAATTGCGAGATGATTGATTTAAGATCACTTTTTTACTCAAACACAATTAATAATCCAAAATGCTGACATTAATTCGTCCAGTTTTACATATTATTTGCGTTGAAATGGCCGCAATTAAAATAACAAATCGCTGCGACTCGTTTCAGGTATCGCAGCAGACAACACACAACTAAATGTCATCGTACTCATTCGATACGTTCGTTAAATGCTGTTAATTTAGTTAAAATACGATTTCGACGGCGGTTTTCGATTCAGCGCGATCGATTATTTTATTATTTTTACCATTTGCATTCGCACGTTTTTAATTTAAAACGTCTCGGGCGCGGTTTTACTGATTTTCGATGTTAATTTCGGCGGTGGTTTAATCAAAAACTCGCCGCGGCAATAAATCACAAAATCAGACGTAATTAAGTCAAGATTTCGCCGGTTTTAATTGTTGTTCCATGTCGCAAACGTAAACACTTTCATATCGGACTGGAAAACAAAGAATTGACCACGAAATTTGAATTCAAAGCAAATAAATCGTCAATTTATTAATAAACAACAACTTTCAATTCGTACACATCAAGATGTCTGTTATACATTTGCATAAATCGTTTCGCAATTAACCGAATTTTAATTAGCATCATTATCGTTAAGTTCCGATGGTATAAAAGATTGGTTTGACCAATTTCATGAATGGAAATTTATTGTTATTGCTTGTTTTTAGTACAAACGGGAATATTTTGATGCAAACGACACCTAGACATTTATTATTAAGCTATTCGAATGTCATATTTCTCTAAACTGGAAGCCGTTTTAATTAGTTGTAGACATATTCAATGCGACTACTAGTTACGTGTCAAACTAACATTATTATGGCACCGTCTTTGACTAAGGTTTGGGTCATAATCGTAAACATTCTCCGCGGACATTATATATTCGTCTTTTTTTTTGGTGGAATGTTGGAATTTCCGCGCGAATAAATCTCGATGAAAAATTCCACGTAATAAAAGTTAATGTGAGTTGATGATTTGTTTTGCTACTTTATGCAAACGTATTTTTATTTGGTTGTACCCGCCCTGCTTTTCGGATTTTCGGTTTGTGACACAAGTGTCCATTTCGCTGTCGTGCGCGGATCCAATTTGCCCGGCACATTCAAACACAAACACAAGCAGAAGAAGCGATTTTTGATGAATTAAATTAAGGTCGGGCGGTGGTCGTTCCCTTCGACAAGACGCGCGCGCTTGGTAGAACAAACCGTATGAAGCGTACGCTGTGCAGTGAAGGCAAACAAACAATAAATCCGCTAGGTTTACTGCCGCCGAACAGCCAGGAGACGGCATTGAAAATCCACGAATCACACTTATTCGCGTGCGAAGCGATCGTCAATCAGCCGGTTCGTCGGGTATCGTTCACTCACTTCGCGCGGGGAACAGTTTCTCTCTATACTGTTAGTCGGGGCTAATACGCCGACTTCCCGGTCGTGCACAATGCAAGAAAAAGCGCGCCCCACGATAGGGGGCTTGACGAGTTATCGGCCCTTCTGATACGACTCACCTATATGAGGTGTATCGATCAATTTCACCTATAACTTTCATACCGAGTCACAATGTGACCCTTTGTGCACCTATTTTTATTTTGCAAAACATTCAAATGAGAGAGATCAGTTTTTTACTATCCTAGGAGAGAAATTCCACCCGCGCGTACATAATAAGTCACGTATAAATTTGCATTAGAGCTTTTATTGCGCACCTTTATTTATTTCATGCGATTTTAAAACTTCTGACTTATTGTTTTTCCCTGTAATTTACGAGCGACCATAAAAATCATTCTCCAAGTATTTGCAAACGACACTCGGGCCGCAGGTTAGAGTTTCGGGTTCGCTGTCGCCCAGTTCGGGCATCTTGTTGTTGTTTTTGCAGCCTGCGCCGCAGTCGAGCAAATATTGCATCTGCAGCATTCCACCGTCACATTTGCGATTAGCATGTTGATTTATAAAATAAATAAAAGCGTGATTAATGTCGTCTACCGAGACGCAGATCGCGCACGCTGATAAAGCGCAAACTTTTACAGATTTTACAATTATCAGCAATCGTAAACTGCAGGCGAAATAAATGATTTTGCGTTGCAGCGTGGTGAACATGTGTTATTATGGCAGTAATAAATTACACGCGCGTGATTGACATTTACGTTTTGATTACCGTAAATTTATTAGCATAAATAAAACCTACAAAGCCAGATGAATGTGATTTTTGTTTTGTTTCGCTATGGGTGCGATCACGTCACACGCGGCGAAAGATTGTATTATAATTAAACGTACAACTATATAGTTGTGTAAATCGTGCGGGTCAAGAGAGGGAGGTCCAAAAACTCATCGTCGAGTGCATTCGTTCACATTTATCCGGGACCAAAAACATTAGACGGAATTAAGTCGAACGTCGTTGGAATGGCGCGACGTAACGTAAAAGTCGTCTCTGTCGGAGGCCCCAGGAGTGTGAGAGCGTGGGCGCGCACTGAGCTCGCAGGAATGATGCCGATGTCTGTCTCGACACATCACGGACGGACCCGTTCTGCACTCGCGGGTCTTGGTGTACGTGATTTTCCACGGAATCTGCCATCATCATGTGTGCATGTGTCTGTTGGGGGGCGGGAATGGATAATCCAATGCGGGGGATGTACGCGCTCCCTTGCGTCTAATGAACCGTCCACGTCATTCCATGGCAAATATACTGCATATTGAGGTATTAACATTTATCGAGATACATGCCATAAACTCGACGCTCGACGCTTCGCCAGATCCCACTTTACTCAAACTCTCGCATCGTCGGTGCCAATGTCGATGCCATTCCGTGCACCGCACGACGATCTCACGTGCACCTCATTGCTTTCCGCATAGTGCGGTGAGAGGCGGCCATCGGGGGACACGCGCGGGGACAACTTGGAAAAGTCGGATGCGAAATTTAGACTACAATCGGAATTAAAAGAAATCACATTTCCGTTCGCGCTGACGTGGAATTCAAGTCCTTGATCATGTGTCACGGATCTCTCGCGGGGACATTCACGTCAATGATTTATTATTCAACTTTGCAAATATAATTGACGAGCCGAGCAAGTAGCACATGTTATAAATGATACAAATAAATAAATCAAGCTCACCGCAATTATGATTATATTGATAAACGGAAAGAATTCGCGCCTGGCGTTGATTTTCTAAAACCTAACGTCTGCGCAAACATTGAAATATTACTCTCATTAATCCCGAGCAACGTGTAAGCAAATAAATAAATAAAATAATTTAACATTAGCACTACTTAACATTACATCGCGGTGAGTGTTAAATATTAATGTGTAAAATGCAAAACTAAAACGGGTTGCCACGAGTGCCACTCCGACATTCCGACCCAGTATGCGATAGATACTTTTATTTATATCGCAAGTTTGATTCGAATCTATCGGGATGCAAATTTTATGCAGATTTTTTCATACCGAGTAAACTAAAGCATCGTTTCCTTAGACATGTTACATCTTTTAGATTAATAAATAGAGTGTGTTACGTACTCATCACTTGTATCGCAACTCAAATCGTTGAATAATTAAATAAAGTGTTGTTTTTTCTGTAAGTTAACCAAATGCATAAAGCATGATGTTAGACACCGACGCAAATAAAAGAAACAAAACGGTGTAGAAAAAGATCGATTGATTTATCGCGCGATAAGAGATTTTACGATAACATCCCGGCGTTTGTAAAGCACCCAGTGTGTAGGTACCGCACACACATCACATTCCGCACGCTCATCAACTATTAATCCGGGAGGCAGTCGTGGAAGACATGTTGTAGGTGGCAATAACTTGCCCGTTACCAGCTCGTAAAGTCCCGGTTACGACTGCGACTGCGAACCTTAAAACCCCGACAACGTTGCCGAGGAATGGTTAAGCCGACGCTTTGAGGAAGCGTGCGCACCCGCGGAATACACGCGTCACGCACGAGGAAGTCGGTCTGGCCCAGAGTCTAGACTGACCCTCAACCTAAAAAACCCAAACATTCCAAACGCGAATAAAAAGATACTGCTACACGTTTAGAACATGCGGTGGGTGAAGTCACAATAAGAAAGTCTTAACGCTAAAACATAAATAGGTACTAGTGGTGCTTTCTCGCCGGCACTTTGCGCATCGTAAAACAGCCCCACGTGCGGGGTATGTTACTTTATATTGTGATATGATTTCAATTGATTATACCACCACCACTACAAGTAGTGTATATAAAAAACAATGAGCTTAAAAGATGAAAAACTACAAGATGAAAAGCTCGTGACTACGCATTGTTTGCGCTGTCTATTATAGCGACGCCGATGATACTGTTGATTGGTAGTAATGAAAGAAGCGAAACAATAGTGTTAGTTGTTACTTTTTAGCGCACTAGCCCAGCATGCTACCTGTTTGTTTACGCCGCAAAGCTAACATACTTTTGAGACGCATTGAAAACTCGCTCAGCGACCAGCACAACCATCGATAGAAACGTCAGTGGCGATGCTGCCGTACGCCATTGTTTTCCGAAACGTTTATCAGACATCAGGCACGGGCGCGACCGACAAAAATACACGCGGGCTGCACAATGGTCGCTAGACACGCGCTAAATGACATTTGTTGTCAAAATGTTTACACCTTTCAGTAGCGCTACACAAGAATATTTCAGCTACCTGCGCTTTACACTTTTTCAAACCTCACCATACCTATACCTACCTACAACTCAGCTTTAGCAGCATCTGGGGAACATTAAAGTGCCGGCAGTTAATTTCTTGTTTGTTGCTTGTTTCAGGCGATTGTGTAAGAAGCGCCGCCGATTTAAATTCCAGCGTTATCGCCAATGCGGATCGCTCGCGCCGCAGCCAATCTAAGGTGAGTAACTAATTAAACAAACTAATTACACGCGCGTATTTATTAGTAAACAAAACGCGCGCTATAGGCGTAATAAGCGCTTGAATATTTTCGTCGCGGCTCGTTGTTTGCGCGTTTGTGCATCGCGCGCGCGCGCATCTATTTTATGAAGCGTTAAATTATTCCATGTTTATAACTACAATCTTCCACGGTTGTAATGCACGCACACCTCTCACACCAACACACCTAGCTGGGTTCTTAAACCGTTTAAAACCATTAGCGCTGGGAGTGAAGAGAGAAGAAGAAAAGTTCATGTGTGGAATCGTTGAACGCCGTCATTTCGCCGGCAAATCATTGTCAATTATAATTGATAAACTGGTCGCTAGTCGTCGACGCATCCATGTTATAACTTAATAATATCCAATATCTGTACTCGCACGCACCATTATTTAAATTTAAACGGCAGAAAGATTTTATAAAGATTCCCATTTAAATTTCGCCCATTAACTACACACAACGGCGGCCGCCTCGATTAATTGGTTATGTTGGTGTGTGCAAAATACAACTATGATCAAATATCGCGCCGAGACGACGATCAAAATATTTATACAAACCACGATTAGATTTTAGAATAATTTAATTTAGGTACCTACTTGAGAGACCGGTGCATTTTTTAAAAGAAAATTTATGCGTTTGTATACAATTAATTGATAAGTAAGCTAAGTGCACACATATAATTAAAAGAACTTAATTTAGAATACACTAGACTGGAAGAAATTAATGGGGACTATAAAAAATCCGAAAAATGTACTGTTGGTGACGTTCGGCAAGTTAGTTGTGTAGTTTACTGTTCGAAAAAGAGTGACAACTTTAATCACGTTCTTCTTTCGGCCTCGGTACTATAGTAAATGCAGCGACACTAAAGTTTCACTTCAGATGGAGACGAATGAAATGAAGTTTGCAGCTAAAAATAGTTGCGCAATGACGAGTAGACGCGATCAGCAAACGCATCGAAGAAAGTCTGTTAATTACATCGCTCTTTTTCTTCCTATTTTTTGTTCTTACTCAATGTTTCTGATTTGCTATTAATTTCTTATTAAAAATTTAATCGTGGCTGCATCGCAGTTTGTGTCCCACTTAGTTACTCGGGGTATTGATTTTTTTCTTCATTTTTTTTTCGTTTTGCACGCTTGCGATGTCAAAATGTATACAAATTTGATAAGACGCAGGGCTTGATTTTAATTTGTGCAAACAGGGCTGGAGCTTTTTGCGCTGAACTTGTTTGGGGTTTTATTATATACGCACGTTGCGAATATATTATATATTTTCGGCAGTGGAAAAGTCGGGGAGTTTCCCAGCGTCCGTACGTCGTTTTCGAACACGCGCACGAACACCGCATACAAAGTTGTTCATTTCGTCATTCATCCCACTTCGCGAGCGGCGGCAACTCGCGATGGTCATAAAGGCTCTTTTCTCTTCAACCCGACTGACGAACACGACGCAGCGCGTCAATATCACACCAGTTTTTCCGAAATGGTCAAACGCGTTGTCACACATGCGACAAGCAAAAGAAGACGCTTAGACCCTCAATTCCCCAGCTTCAGGTTTCATTCAAAATTAAAACGAAATGCTCAAATATTTGTACAAATAATTCCCAACCCGCTGAACCCCAAGTAGTAACGTCTGGCTGAATTTGCAATGTTAAACGCCTCAACTTTCCTTATTATCATTAAAACAAATAACGCCGGCAATAAAAAACGGGAAAACCGTGGAGAATAAAAGTTGAACTAACCGAGGGCGGCAAACAAACGACGGAGCGCTGGGCGCACAACTGGGAAAAATGACCAAATCGACGAGATAACATTTCGACATGGCACAGGCACGCGCTCTTGTACTGCGTGTGCGCTTTTTAGTTACAAAACGAGTACAAATTTGTGTGTTTAAATTGAGTCGGACGCGCGTGTGTTTTTGTTGTCTGGGCCCATCGCTATTGTCCGACATCAATCCAACATTAAACGCGAAACACTCGCGCGGTGGCGGCGAGCGTGTGCCGTTCAATGCGAGACCAATTAGTTTAATGTCGAATGTCACGCGATCGCTGTGCGTACATAATACGTCAGTTTGGACATAAATCAGTCACACCTGAGACATGGCCGGGGCCTTTTAATAGAGACATATGCCCGATCGACAGATAATTGCCTCACGCGCATCAGACAATTACCCTACTCACTCATGAACCAATAAGTAGGTATAAGTTAAGGAGGCCTTTGATAACTAACAAAAATAGAAGAAATAGATGTTTTTCTGAAACTAAAGGTCCTCCTTTCTGATTGGGCCGAATTAATTGAGTCATATTCAAAACATGGCGTCGATATAATTATCAGAAGAGCTCACAACATGCGGGACGGTAATTTCAAGCCCCACCGCCATTGCAAGAATGTATGATCGTAAATTTAGCAAAAACATGCACGGCCATTGCAGATTTTTACCACAACGTGGGGTCACACTCCAGGCGCGCGGAATGTGTCACTCGTTCAGTCGCACTTCTCATACACTGCGCCACGACATCCAGCAGCTCCTTATTCTTCTTCGTAATGTAATCGAGCGGCAAATGCGACAGGAAAATATCGAATCGACCATCGTGGAGCGACCGCGACAGACGCAGGCTCGTTAATTGGCAGTTAAGTTGAGTGAAGGATCGCGCAGACTTCATATAAAGGCAGCATTTTTTTTTGTGCTCCTCGTATGATCCGGCTGCAAGCTCAGCATATTACGTACAGAACGGAACAAATGCGATAGGATGGTATCGCCTCGCGCGCTTACAACCTGTTCCTTCTTCTTGCAGGGGTATTCTGTATTTGTACACGGTAAACGATATCGGTGTGTACCGTGTACACAATACACAGCAAGTAAGATTAGGGGGCAAAACTCAACAACGTGCTCCCCTCCTCGATTCGATAATGCTCTCATCTCATTTACGTTCGGGTTTGGGTTCGCGACCATTATCGGAGCATTGCACCCGGACCACAACTGGAGAGTCTTCGAACCGTCGAATATCACCACCGCCCATTTTTACCAAATTACTGTTTTTTTTGTTTTTGTTTTTTGGGCTTTTTTTTGTTATCCCTGCTTTTTCTGACTTTAATACCATGCACGATGTGTTGCGGTGTCATTCTCGTGTGACGTGTACTTGCATAGATCAAAAACTTTATTCGATTCTGTCAACAATAAACAGCGAGCGTTGGCGCCGAATTTATCTAAATGTCCGGCCGTTTGCCGCGCGAGCGCTCCTTTCCTCACCGAGGGTATGTATATGATGAGAGAGCTTTAGCTGTGTGTGTCTGCTGCGATGAGAGACACCATCGCCCGAAAACGCGTAGGGCGCGACAGGAGATAAGAAACCTTTACCGCACGGCATTTGTTTTCGCCGGCAACAAGCCGCGCTTACACACAGAGACGCAAACCAACGGACTTGATTGAAATCAACTCGTTTGCACCGTACTCGGGTCGGAATCAATTTTTATCAAATTCCGGTTATGCTGCGCAAACGTGCATCTACAACACGAGAGAGGTTCTGTTAGCCTGATTACGTGTTTCTCGTCCGCTGTTTCGCGCATGATGTGAATTTACAGATTTACACCAAGGCGAGAGATTTAACACTTCTATATTGGTATTAAGTATTTTCACTGCAAATCGAAACAAACGCTTTTATAACTATTGTAACGGGATAAAACGTTTCAATAATTTTAAAGCTTTAGGTGTTTGAGAAGTACTTTAATGATTTTTTGCTTGTCAGATGTCTTTCAACAATAACAAGCAAATTGAAATTGATCATCCCCTAATAAAATGCATGTTTGAGATGTTATCCCCAATTTGGGGTGTGAAACGAACCAAAATGAAGGTACACACATGTGGGGTGATCGTACACACTCAAAAACACACCGCAACATTGTTCCGTAATCGTTATCAAAATACCGCCAAAGAACACAACCTCCCAACTCATCACATCGCAAGAGGAAGTTTGTAAAGACAGGTATTAGTCAAACATTTTCTTCAACATCCCTGTACCGTCATTATAATATACTAGTGTGTCGTTATGGTTACTTATACGGGGAAGCTAATAAAAATAATGATTCCACATTAAGTTGTGCCGGTTGAAACGTTTCGCCTACCTTGAAAGTTATAATATTGGGCATTTTCTTTAAAATCGAACGACGTGTGCTGCCTGTGATGAATATTGCTTTTATAGCATGCTCTGCCATCGAAATCAATTACCGGCGAGGGCAATTTGACAGGACGAAATTAGAGAGCATCGTTTTTTGCTTGGATGCTTCGACGCTGGGCTGGGTTCGCAGGCATAGTCCGTCCACTCGTCTCGTCTCGTCTCGTCGCCGACCTCGGCCTGACTCATTACTTCTCGTTGCACATTCATCTTCCTCGTGCGTTGTGTCGTCTCTCATATCTGCACGTCCAATTTTATAAATCATAGAGGTCTCGGCCTCGCCAGGGCACAACGCGCACAGCTCGCACGCCGAACCGGGATAAAGCAGAAATTAAAATGATGAGTCCAAGCGACGGGCCGGGGATAATTTCGCCGTTCTACCCTGTCATTTTGGTGTATCATACAGTGAAGATGTGCTATTATTGAGTAATAAAATGTTTTTATGGCTGCGCGGACACTTAAGTCGGCTCTAAATGTGTTTTGTGAGTGCATCACTCCGAGCAGGACTCGAAAATCGTGCAATTACAACCGGAGATTCGCTGATGATGGCCTTTGATCGCGGCGATGCGCCAAAAATCGGCAGCAAGCCTTTCTGCGGTCACATTTTAATATAATTAGTGCATGTGTTCTGATTTTCCACTGGACTGTTCTCGTAAAGCGGCTTAATGCAGTGTTGGCTGGTTGCCTGCCCTATCACTCAGCGCTATTATACTAAAAGTATCGACTATATAAATTATTACTGTCCGACCGGGTAACGAAGTGAACTGCGCTCGACCGTTCGGTGGAAGCTCCGTCTATCTTCCGACAATATATCTCGGGCGCGGAGACGTTTTCGATGGTGCGCTGGTGCACCGCTTGCTTCCTCCACATTCGGTTCCTCCTTCCTTCCAGCATAATGTTCAGCCGTTCCTGCGTTGATTTACGCTTTCTTTGTTACTACATTACAGGCAGACGATGCTGTCTTATCTAGACGCCCAGGTCTAGACTAATATTCTTTAATTAAACCCCTATTAAAGGCCTCCAAAACCACCCTACGCTGCAAAGCAATCGGAAACAAATCAAGCAAGAAAAGCAAAATGTCAGTTTTTAATTTAAGGAAAATCTAGAGGTGCGCCTTGGAAACCCACTAAAGGGTCGGATCAGCGCGTGTGGGTATGTGTATTGGGTGGCGTAGGTGAGCGTCGTCGCGTTGACCCAGAATATTATGCTATACGCGGCGCTGAGCGCTACGAAACACATCGGACACCCCCCCGCCCCGGTCGCGACCTAACGTAGCCGCCGCACGATGGTGGACATGGGTGCGAGCGGGACGCGCAAAAGTGTCGCGCGCGCCCCCTCTCCCGGTCGCCGCTGCCACCGCCGCCGCCGCCGCCGTGCCATGCTGGAGCTGTCCGTCTCGCGTCAGCGTCAGCGTGCTGCCGATCGATCAGTCTGTGGCTCAAAGCAATGCACACGCCAGGTCAAAAGACGTCTGCCCGGGCAGCCCAGCGACAACACCCTTCCCTTCCGTCCCACCTCTGACAGACGGCACGTCAGAGGACATTTCAATCTCGCCGCCACCGCCCGCGCGTGGACCCCGACGACCTGGCCACGTCCACGACTCCTCGCCTCCTTCGATACTGCATGCTGGCCCGACACCGACAAACGACCTCACCCCACGTGTTGCCCCTTTTCGTTGTTTTCGGCCGTGTGTGTGAGCGCGCACACAATGCACACGCCAACGCCATCGCACCATAATGCTGTCCGTGCACTCGCGCCAGCTCCGGTCACGGATACATCTTTGATGTTTTAATTAGATTTATCTGTTGTTCCGGCGAGCGCATGAAGCTTTATCCAATTTCATCAATTCTGGCATCGTTACGTGAACGAACACGGAACGCTTTCATCACTTGGAAATTCTAAATAGCGACGAGAGTTCTTTTGTCGTCTCTACGACGCGCTAATATTCTTCTTGTAGTATTTTAGCTATTTGTACTTTGCTTTGTCCAAGCGCGTCCAGCACGTTCGCATCGTCTTCAAACAGCGAATTGTTTATCAAAGTAGATACATCTTTACTCCCAATGGTAATAAATCTTCTAATTCGAAAGGGTCGAAGAAAAGATATATGCAAATAACAAATAAAATTGCCAAACAAATTTTATTTATCCTTATCGCCCAGAAGCCTCGCCGATATCTGACGAAATGCTAGGGAAGTGAAGAACACAGAAAAGTCGAAGGGTTTATCGTCGACCGATACGTTCGCAAGTCGCATCGCGACGACCGTCAATCAAGTCCGGTTTATCGGAGGCCGGCCCGTTGCAGCATCCGATAGCGGGCGCGCGAAACGCCCGACTATGCAGACGAGCGCCTTGATTCGCGATTTATGACTCTTCGGCCAGAAGAACACGCTCGCGGTGTGTGCCGTACGGAATTCGCAATTGTCGTTAACTTGGCGCTGCACGAAGCAGGTAATTTTGCTATAATCGGGCACTGGCGACGAGCAGCCACGGAAAACCGAATCGCAACCGGCAGTAAAGAACTTGATGACTTTCGCCTTGGCGTGCGCACCTCCTTAGATCTTGGCGCCTTTAATTAATACAAACAGAACTCCTCGCTGACTGGCTATTTAAATAACTTAAAACGCAAACGACCACGCCAATATGATAATGATTCGCAATTAAAATACACTGCTGCTGCTGCTCGGCATGGGTCGCTAATGCGCGCGCGCGGTGCGCTTCTTTTTGTACTCACCATGCATCTCGAGGCGAGGTGGTGTCTCAGCCAATTAAGAATAATCAATTAGACCAACATACACACGTACAAAACGATAGCGCAGCGATCGGCCGGATTGGGATGGAAGGAAGCTCTTCTCTCAGCTTCATCAATAATGTAAATGCAAATGGCGTGTCACATAAATTCCTCATTTCACTAACTTCAAAAACCACTCACAAATAGAGCATTAAATCGTTTACATCCAGATCACTCACACTGGTTTGTTTTTATGGCATAAAACGTTGAAATTAAAGCGAAAGAGAAAGCACGGATTCATTCATCAGCACACGTTGGGCCAAAATCAATTAGACGCACATACACGGAATGATACAAAATATCAGCGGATGAAAAGCTGCTTAATCAAAAATGCAAATATCACGTCCCATAAATTCTTCAAAAGTTTGCGCGCCGGATGGCGCAGCGCGTTTTTTTCACGCCACGCAAAAACACCCTTTTTCATATCTGTCCTCCGGTAAAATGATTTGTGGCCATTATCAGCTGTCCACGAGTAGATTTTTGCCAACTTTTCAACGCACTCCGCCGCCGTTGATGCGCGTTCCTATCGCAACGCATCACAGGCCACTAGAAAATTGATTTTTAATCTAAATAGTGCATATTTCGGCGTATCGCTTTATATAAATATTTAACGAGAGCTGGATGGACGTTTGCGTTTCCGGTTGTGGTGACTGGTATATCAATCATCCGGTGGCGCGTTCGGCCCACGGTCTATTTCGCGCGTGCGGCGCGACTCGCTTACCAACTCGCTCACATATACAAATACACACACAAAAGCCGTGAACGGCGGCGGTGGTGGCGGCGGCACGGGCCAGCGCGCAAGCAATCATTATAGCGGTGCGACGCGTTCGATCCTCGCGCGGAGATAATTCGGGGTTGATTGCTCAATATATCAGGTGTCACAATGACAATAGTCATCAGTCTGTTTACGTGACGTTCTAGAACAACTGCATCGTATAGTTTATATACATTCGCTTTTACGTCTGCTTTAAATTTTTATTTATTTATTTTTTTAATTTTTTTCGCCAACTTTCTGCCAACGCGAATAATTTTATATTTTCCATCTCATCTCATCGCAGAGTATAACGAATGCGAGTTAATTTATAAGTATTATAATTACATGAAAAGCAGGACATCTGCCGGCGCCGCATGTGTATCTGTGTCGACATCATTATTATTACACGTCTGCGATCGTGCGACATTAAACGATACGCGTTAAGCAAACGACTCGAGACGGACGTTGATGCGATTTGGCACGGTCGACACGCTCGCGAAAAATTGGCGTAGCCGGCGCGTCTAAGCGTTGACTAATTTGCGTCTTTTTATTCGAAAATTATTATATACCCTTCCAAATCTACTCGAGCAGACGTAATGCAAACTCTTTGTATTCAAAATGCTGCGCGGCTTTTACGACGCAATACGTTCAGTCCCTGTACGACCGAAATTCACGTTTACTCTTATACCTCTCCTCGAAACTTTTGCTCGGGGCTAAGACTTTTAAATTCTTTCAAATCGCGAACTTTTCACGTTCTGCACCCTACAATATTGTAGAGTACTTTTTGATTCCTATTTATTCGAAGCACTGCCTCGGTTAGTTTAAGCTCGAGCAAAGAACATCTTTTTTTATTTCTTTTCGTTTGTGTTCTATTTTGTTACACAATGTTTTGTTCTGTGACTCAGTACAACCAGTAAGGTAATATTTGTTTTGTAATTTTAACGGCACAACTTCCCTTTATTTTATTCCAGCCTTGTCGAGTTGGTCACGTCGCTAATCGGAATTCGGCGAAATTTGCTTAGTCGTCGATCAATCACGGCAAACATGAATCAGTTAACGACTGGCTACCAAAGCAGAGCTTATAAGAATATATTAAAGTCGTGCAAAAGTTTATTTTCGTCTTCAAGCTCAAAACGCCGATGAAAAGCAGGCGCAATAAAAAATGTTCATAAAAACGCTAGAACTGCTAAGAGTGTGATTTATTTCTTAAGCATAATTCAGCTAGGAAATCACCAAGAATTTAATAAGCCAACAACACCAACAAGTGCGAAATTTATCTCGGGCAATTTATTAATGTATTTATCCCGCTCGAAAGATATTAACTTACTATACATTAGCAAACAAATAAAAAAGAAACACTGTCGGCGCCAAAATTGGATGACAAACAAGTCGGAATTTTATAGTTTGAAAACTTCTTTGTTTATTGGTGTGAAATTCCACACATTGGCAAAAATAAGCAGATTTTTGTATTTTTACAAATATTTAAAGAAACAACATGTAGCAATTAAATTTTTTACTTATTTCCCTTTCACTTAGGTGAATTATTTGACAGAAATATTTGATCTATTTTGAAAATGCCAGAGGCTTTCATCTTTGATATTTATAAGCAAAAATCTAGATGATTCAACACCGCAGAGCGAAATATTCAATCACGCGTTTTTTTTTTTCTGCGGGCAAATCACTCTCTAACAGACCGGCTTTTGCAGCGCAGCCGAGTTCATAATTGATGTAATTTTTTGTCCATTTTTTCGGATTTCGCATGTTCCTCCTCTGATTCGTAACAAGCCGCTCTCGCGGTGTGGCGGCTGCGTCCTGCGTTAGTGTGTGTGTATGCTCGTAGCTCGTGCAAATTTCAACGATGAATGGTGTGTTGTGGATGAATGGTGGAACGCGTAGTACTCACGCACTCACACCACGGCCCGTATCGACCGGAGCCACGCGGAACCCACATGCCGCCAAAACATACCTATTTCAAGTTCACTATCATTTTCCGTGAGTTGTCCCACTAGGATAACAGAATAACTTCACAAGTAAAAATGTGAAAATCCCCCGGATAAATTGTAACTTGATCTCTAAGTGTCCCTGAGGTGTTGCGTTGATGTTGTATTGAATTAAATTATTCGAAAAATTTTGGGGGTGGTTATGAATAATTTCAAACTTACATTTCATGCGCTTGGGACAATCCTGTTTCCTGCGAGGCATCTTGCTGTCCGCTGTCCTCCTCAGGAAAATAGATTGTCGCTTCAGTTGGAGCAGAATTTTCGCGGTTTATTAAAGTACCATCACGATGCGAAAATTTTTCAAATTTTAAATAAAACAAAAAACACAAGCACTGCAGCTGTTGGTCGATATTTTCTTATTGGATGTCGCGTGCCGGTAGAAAATCAACCAACTCAAAACTAATATCACTAGAGAACGCACGCACTCTTTGCAGGAAAGATGATCACACTCGATGTAATATTATCGTATACTTGTAATTGTCGCAGTTGTAAAGTTTTCACTCACAAAAATTTGCTTCCTCGTGATAAGTATTTAAAAATTCGTCAAACTATCCTTTTTTGTATTTCACAAAACTCGTAGATAATTTTTAATTGATGAGTCGAACGATGAAGTGTGTGTATGTTCCCGCGTTTCACCTGTTTTTCGGCAATGTTACAAATGCGTAACAAACGCGCGCCACTTCGGTGCCTCGGCGGACCGGAGCTCGCAACCAGTAGTCCTACGTGCTCGCACGTACTCCGGTGACTGAATGACTGACAGGACACGATTCCGGTGCTCCCCCACTCTTTGGCGGGCCCGCCGCTTCGTCTCGAGGACGACAGTCGGCGCAACGCTTTCGTCAGGTCTGGCAAGCGCCGGCGTCTCGACGCTTTGCTCGCGCGCGCGCCCCCTCTCGCTCACGTCGCGCGGCGCGCACTTGCACACACGAGCTACGCAAACGGCTACAACGGCGGCGGCTACGGAGCTCGACGCGATGTCATCCCTCGTCACGCGCCCGAAAGGATCTCACGGCGCGCGGGCTCGAGATCGTCGGCGAGCGCGCAGCATGCACGCACGGCGCAACCTCATGGTCCATTTGACAGGTGGGAGGCGCTTGGTGGAGGCCGTGCCCCCGCGCGAAGCGCGTTCGTCCCCGCCACATTCACTGCGCAGCGGCTGTTCTCTGTTACGGTGCCGTGAACACGAGTCGTACTGTTGTGTACAGCTACAAATCGTACAAAATCATCGTGAAATCATCAAAAGCCAAAGAAACTTGTAAGTATACAGTAAGATTACAACCCCGCTAAACTCCTAATGTATAAATATTAGTGTTTGCGCCGCGATTAACGTCAATATTTGCGAAAAACCGCGACATAACCTCTAAGATCCGCGCCGAGTGTATCGAGATACCGTAGATTTACGCCGCTCCACGTGCTTCATCATGCCAATGTATACAACGTGCGAAATCAAAGAATACAATGCTATAAGAGTGTGATTACGTTCACCGATCAAACAAGTTGTAAAATATTGCATTATATATGTGAAATCAGCACATTGGTGCGTCAAGCGTCGGTTAAATAGGTGTTTGCCGCATATTCCCGCTACGATTTCGTAAGTTTCGCTCACAGGCGGCGGTAGCTGTCGGACACCACTCGCACCGGCACTCCCACTTCGCTAGAGGCGGAGCGATCGCGCACGCTACAAGAACAAGTTGTGGCGCTCGCTGGGCGATTTAATGCTTCTGCTCCATATTATTACGCTACATCGTGTAATACAAATAAAGAAATTGCATGTCAATTCGAAATCGCACCACGCTCGGGGGGTACGCCTACGCAGGCACTCGAAAGCGATTATTTCTTATCAATTGAATGCGATTCATCAGGTGTAAATCAAATTATTGCTGAATTTATTGCTGGAATAATGTCGAGAAGTTTCAAATAGCAGCGAAGTATAACAATAACAATTGGTGTCAATATCTGATAGAATATTTCGTGTCTAGTGACGACAATAGGACGAATTTAATTTGAACGAAAAAATCTGTTGAATTAATAATTTCAAGCATAAGAAATTTCTTTTTGGATTAAACATTTAATTGATTTTGAAATCTTTAAAATTCCTTTTTAATTGACCGTTTATTGCTTTGCTGCACCTTGGACACTCAGCAGGAAACGCTGAAGACGCACTAAACGTCAGAGATAAGTAAACGACATCGAAGAGAACTATTTAAAGATTGTGCCGGTTACGTGTGGGCGGTGTTTTTTTCTTCTCCGATCATCACATCACAAGGCATTGCATTAGTTTCGTTTTAATTGTGTGGAAGCTTTGATGCCGTTAAGTGCTACAAAACGCGATCTAATTTATTGAAAGTTACAAGAACTTTGTCAACTTCACCTTGATCACGTTTATAGGATACAGGTGCCAGTATCCTGGTTAATGGCGTTTGGTTTATGATTTGAATTGAGGTCTAAATCACAGGATTTGGAGCAGATGTATCGTAGGGGAAAGTAGCCATATTTGGACCATTTTTATATTTTTGATTTATAGAGCCACATATAAACTGTCAATAAAAATTAAGTAGCGGAAAAGTAACTCACAAGGCTTACCAACAAAATGATATTTTTGGTTTAAGTAAAAATTATATTTATACCCCTCAAATTTCAATTTAAAAAAATTGTGTTTTTGGTCCAAATTAAGAAACCGGTTTCCTAAATTGGACCGCGCGGTTTCCTAAATTGGACCATGCTTTTTTAACGGCAATTGACACAATAGTAAATTTTAGTTTTAGCAGTAACACAAGCACATTTTGTATAAACCAAAGTGCGGCATTTCATACAGTGGATCATTTCGAAGATTTGTGCTCGTCCACAAGCTTTTCTAGGAGGTCGAAAAAATGATATACGTTTTTCCTGTAAAACTCCGGTGTCTGTCTTCGGTCCAACTTGGGCAACTTGAAGAATTTATATATAATGATCAACAACAATCTTAATATAACATAACCTCTCAAAATTAATACTATAAATTATAGATAAATAAAGAAGCTTCCTGATGATAAAATAATAATCGGTAAAACTAACGTTTTAACGGCTTGACAGCTCTTGCACTTACGTCGTTATAATAGATTTGATAATCAATGATACACGAAGTTGTTGTCACGACGAAAGCACGCGGCAAGTTTTAACCCAAATAGTTGCATTAATTGTTTATAAATACGAGTAAAACAAGGGGCCAGTCAATTTTTGCATAAACTTCAACAGTCCGCGGATATCGTGGTGGTCCAACTTAGGCGCTGGTCCAAATTATGCTACCTTCCCTATGATTTTAATATTTTTTGATGAATTTTCCTACTACTTTTACACAAAATCGAAAATTTATTTCCTGTCATCTTGCACACGTTTATACAAACAGTATAATTATTTCGCTTGGCAAATTTTTACGCAGAACTAACAAAACTTTGCTCCAATAAACGAAAAAGCGCCCGGTGTGTAGCGTGACCAATGCATGGGTCCTCACCGTAGGTAAATAGATTTAATGGTTTGATGTGCGTGCACTGATGGCTGTTGCCACGTTCCCTTCAATCGGATGATTTATTTTGACAACTTTTCGCATTGTCGTCCACATGTAATCGGTTGACATCTGCGAATGGTCGCCGGCGCGCCTCAAGCGCGCTAATCGTCTAACGAAAGGGCAGCTGAACTGTCTGACTGCGCCTGCAATACCTATTGCTACCTAAGAGCTTGAAAATATTCGAAAGCATTCATTATGCGTGTGTCTTTTTTTTCTTCCTTTATCACACTACGTGTGTAAGCTTATATATTTGCGGCTTGCATAAGAAGCACGCCCGCCATCCTGATGTAACACATTATCTCCCCCTTAGTGGAGGTGCCAGCCCAAATTTGTGGATGGTCGAGCTGTAGCGAAAAAATCGCATGCACGGTGTGGCGGTGTAAGAGCCCAGCAAGAGAGTCGCCAAGAATGCACTTTATTTTTAATTAGCGAACGAACGCCGACCGGGCCCTCGTCAGCCAGCAATTAAATGATAAACACAATGGCATTACCTTTTGCGTCACTTGTAATTTCTTCAGTTTATTTCGATGTCTTATTTTGGGCGGCACTCAATTTGTAGCGTTTTTTTGTTGTTGTTGAGGATAACAAAAAAATAACGTGATATCTATTAGTTGGGAGGTAAAAAATGGTTAAAATATTTTGGAAACTATAAAATTGAAGCAAACGGGCTTGCTTTTTTGTTGTCCGCTGCCGTGGCATGCCATGGCATGGCGTATGATCCCTTCTGAATATTTGTGGAGTTGATTCCAACCCTCCCGTTAGCTTTTGACAGATTTATTGCTCGTTTTCTATAGTCTTAATATGACTTATGGACAGGAACCGAACATAATCCAATACGGGTTGCGCCATCGTGTGCGCGATCCTCTATACGCTCCCCCTCTTCTCGCGATCACGCTGGCTGGGCCATGTTTCTTTTGGTGGTTTTCGACTGTTTCCACCCCAAGTGAACGAGAGAGGCAGGCAATGGTGGTTGAGCGACTAAAAACACAAACCCACCAACCACAAAGAAAGCTCAATGCTTTATGTGAGTGAAAGCAGTGTGAGAATAAATAATTTTACACTTCTCCAAATTTTGAATATTTAATTTTGATCTGTGTAGATCTCGAAAATAGATTTGGTGACTGTTGGTAGCATTCCTTTAGCGATTACCTGATGTGGCAAAATTCAAAACACCCCAAAGACACAAATCAAACGCGCTGGACACCAAGAAAAAGAAGAAGAAGTATAACATCTCCACGCGGTGGCCTTGCGTTTTCCACATTTCTATATGTCGAAGCAGAATCCGTGTCTCACCGATCGCTCCACTGTCAGATCCACGTGATTTACAGCGGACGAGTCTTTTGTGCCAGTCAAGTTCCTCAAACGGCCGGACAGGCCCGGATTTAGACTTTATGTGATTTTTATGCTAATTTCATAATTTAGAGCTTGATGCGTGATTTTTTCGGAACGGAATGCTTTCTATGGTACTACTACAACTCCATACAACTACTTTTCGTATGTATGTGTGTTGGTAATTTAATGCGATGTATTTATGAACATGTGGGTTTCTTTATACGACGTGACGCCGTGGACTTCTCGTGTATGGATTCTTCTTTATCGCGTCATGTCTCTTCGGGTCGCGCGTCTTGTCGGCGTTGGTGCACATGCACACGGGCATTATATTTATAATTTACTCTTTATCCGCGGCATTATTATGTGCAACTGAATGAACGGGCTCCGAAATGTGTGCGTCAACGCACACCACGATTCGTAAAAGACATTCGGGTCGATTCGAACGTTTTATTTATTCTCGTTTTTATGTACGTTTCAAATGAACGGCCGATATAAAGTAATTCGAGGGAACATCGTATGAATAATAAAATCAATTCGAATCGCTTTTTACATCAAGTTTATAAAAAGAAAATTAAATAACAGGAAGAACAGAAAGCACATTCGGTTGTTTGCGGTGGCATTTTGTGTGAAAGTGTGTGTATTTTGAAATGTGACGCACACAGAAAAAAAAACAACATGGAAATTCACGACACGCAGGAAGAAACATAAATAAATCTGTAACATTATAAATTTGCCTAGTTGCTGTGGTGGATTTGTGAATGCTGTGAGATATTCGTTGTGGCTTAATGATCATGTAAAAATAGAAGAACAAATGTTTCCTCAGATGTTTGAATATTTCATCAGTTGTCTTGTTTTGGCACTAAAATCTAGAAAATTATTTCGTATCTTTAAAAAAAGCCAGATTTATTTATGTTTTCTTCGCTTGGTTGAATAATTATTGTGAAATGTTTGTCATTTTAGAATTTTTAGCGTTGACATTCACGAAATAATCTGTGATATTTTAATTACGAATTAATTGTGATTGTGTAAAACTGATCAAGATTTATTATTTAAGTTATTCAAAGCGTAAATGTTTATTTTTTTCCGTAAAATTTGAGTGGAAACATAAATATGCC